TTCTTGGTCTGGCTCCTAGTTCCATCACGTTCATTCCACGCTAGCCCACCCTATCCCCTATTGTCGCTCTGTCCCTCAGTACCCCGTCCTCTCTTCTTGCTCCTAACTTTTGCTCCCTTTTGCCCTCTGCCCCCGTCCATTTTCCTTCTGCGTTCCCCCGCCACTCCTCTTTCTCCCCCCTCTATTTTTATTATCTTACCCCTTTGGTTTTTTCATTCCTTTGCCCCGCCACGTGCCCCGCGACTACGTACGTCATCAAAAAGGTTAATGAATGTTTTTTTTGAATGTAATATTTTCAAAAAAATTCCTTTATGTACTAAAAAATTAAAGTTTTGAAGCTCCAACGAGGGCCGTTTTTTTTGGAGGTTAGCTTGCAAGACATCTAATGGTTCTTTGTTTGCTATAGGAATAATAAAGCATAGATATTACGTAAAACAATACCTCATGTTTTATGATGGTCGAGTTATTTATGGTATTTTTTAATTATGTAAAGAACAAAAAATTTATTACTTATGTTTGAAAAATTCCTTGTGCGAGGTGGAATTGAATTGATTGTTTAGTGATATTGAATCATTTATTGGAGAGTTGGATTTCATTTTGAAAAAGGATGCGAAGTCGGAATTTATTTAGAGAATTGACTCAATGAAGTGTGATCATTACTTGAACATTGAATCCATTATTAAATGATAAAATTTTTGAAAAACTTCGATTCTGTGAGGAACTTTTATTTTGTTAAGTTCCATGACCTTCTAGTTCTTGGCATTTCTTACTCTTCGAGTTCTTATGATTCTTAGTGCTGAAAAAAAAGGAAGAAAAGAGAATTAAAGTTGAAAATTTAGATTTTCAATTTCTAATTCCATTAAAGGACGATTGGGTTTTAAAAAATCTTTTATTGTATAGAATCACGTTATTAGTTCAATTTAGATCATGTTGGTCTGTTTGGAGGTTTTTACCTGCCGCAAGATTTTCCCTCCTGATTATTTTTTTTTTTTTTAAAGCAGACAGAGTTGGAAAGCAGCAATATTGGAATCTAGGCTGAATAATGATTGATTTGATTTTCATAATTTCTAATTAGAAATTTAATTCGAGATTTTTTACGATATTAATATTTTAGCCTAATCCAATATTTTTGCCCAACTTATAGGAATTGCTAGGTGGCAATTTTCAGAAGATTGGGGGAAGTGTAAAATATTTGTATGTCGCCATCTAATGACTATTAGACTAACGACAGTTTGTTAGTTAACAACGATTGCTCGACGATTAAATTGTTTATAGCACCGACGGGAGAGTTCGTTAATCTCCAGTTTTTGACTGAAACTTGAGTTGACCGCACGGATTCTTTCTTTCTAGTTAATTGCTGTCATTCTTGAAAAAACGTTTTTTTTTCATTTATTAATTTTTCAAAGTTGTTATTTGTTCTTATTTCACAATATTATCGTTCATGAGTGGAATATCAACCTGAATTACCAGAAATCACATTAAACAAAAGACCCCGGATAAAAGTAATCGATTTACAATGAGCTGTAAATGAATTAGATATTTCTAATAATAACCACAATCTTTCAGAACGTAAATCTTACCATCGAGAAATTACGATAAATGGATTAGAAAACTATAACGAAAGAAGTAGTTTTGTTAATGCAACTATACAATCAGTTTTTAATTGTATTCTTACATCAAATTTTATTAGCGATTTAACTAGCCACTCTTAGTGCCTTTTGAAACAATTATTATTTTAATATAAGAATAATCACAGCAATTTGAGCATTTTGACCGTGTTAGAAGATATTGAAAATTATTTGAATACTGATAAGAAGAAGGATCCTCTAGTACTACTTGATTCGATATGTGAGAAACATTATGAAATTAAACCACTATTAACTAATCATTTGCAAATGTGGATCGATGTAATAATTTTAGTTATATCAATATATACTTAGAGGAAACTATTCGATTATCGTGTCCTATTCCTATCAAGTACAATAAATAATAATAGATTACTTAGAAACTCTTATTCACATTGGCTAGAAAAAAAGTTACTTGTCTAAATTGTAATGAAGAAACTGAATGTCAACGTAAAATTAGAATATCTTCTACTGGACGATTTGTTGTTATTTCTTTAAACATATTTCCTGATTGCAAAAACATCGATAAAAATTATACTAGAGGTATTCTTCGAGATACGTCAATGGAAAAAATAAATATTTGTGATAATATATACATGATGAAAAGCGCTGTATTCTATGTAGGTAACTCTATATCGCAAAATCATTTACACTATGATAAAAGGAAGTACATCTTTAAAGTGAGTTAAAATTGATGATTCAAATCATGAGTATGAAAGATGGCCCATAAATAGTAAACGGGTTAACGTTCTATTTTTATACAATAAAAATTCTAAAATTTCGAAAAAAGTATTAAGTATCTCACAAAATAAAGAGTACAATTAATTTTGAAATCGAAACAATTTGATTTCGATAGATATGTAAAATACTCACAGGATTAAAGTTATATATTTGTTTAAATGAAATATTTCAAGTGAAGTTACCACTGATTCATTACCAAATGAAATTACGGAACAGTAAAATATTCATAACATTCGGGTAATCTTATGACTTCAATATTGTTGAAACATAAAAATAAATAGTAGAGTAAGGGATGGCTATACGGAGTGGAGGAGATCATTAAAAAAAGTGTACGATAACGTGCAGGATGTAATTTTCTTCGCAAAAAAAAGAGTTCGATTGCTACCATATGTAGCGTTGACATAAGCTTCTTTTTTCTAGCAAAGAAATGAGCATGTTTTAATTCATAACGTGATTTTATACATCAAGTTTCATTAAACAAAGTTGTTGCAACGATGTTTTAATGAATTCCACATCACATTAGCTTAATTTTGCTTAACTTAACTCGAATCAACATCACTTGGTGGAAATATTATTTGATTACCTTTGTGATAGCCTGATAGACTTTTTTCAATACAAAAAAATGTTTTTGTTAGCTCTCTGTCAGATTATTAATTATTAATTTACTACATTTGATTATCGAATTATACATAACTTCTGTAATCAGTAATTCTGTGGAAGAATTAAAGAATAGTCCTGTGAATAATAATTTCACTCAAAATATTGTTCATCCTGAGAATAATTTGTTATTAAATTACAAGTTACTTAATCAATTAATAATTTTAGGAATAAAACTGACAGATATCTGCGACTAGAAGATGAAATATACGTACGTATGAATAATAAAAGGAAATGTTTTGAATTCTACTGTAAGACTCATTTTCAGGTTATTTACAGCAACTTTAAATATTGTAAAATAAGACTCAATAACAACTTCGGAAAATTAGTAGATTAATTAAAATTTTTATTGATGATTGACAGCAATTAATAAAAGAAAGAATCCGTGCCGTCAACTCAAGTCTCAGACAAAAACTGGAGATAAACAAACTCTCCCCTCGTTGCTATAAACAATCTAATCGTCAAGCAATCGTTGTTAACTAAATAACTGTCGTTAGTCTAATAGTCATTAGATGGCGACATACAAATATTTTACAATATCATAAACACAGGAGGTCGGCTTTTATACATGTTAGATGGCTTGTAACTTTAGCAAAAGAGGAAATTACGCGTCAATATAAATCGAATTGAAATGTTTCGTAACATTTGTGCAATAGAATTGGGTTTTTATTCATTTTACACAGAGTAACTGCATTTTAAATTTCATTATTTTTAACAATTGACATAAATGAAAGGTAGCCTGTAATCTTTCTCACAATGCCTTTTACATGTTTGTAGAATTTGACTGCAATTCTGCTTTACAAACTTTATAGCAATTGAGTGATGATTGTAAAATTTCTTTATTGATCCCAGGGCCGAGAAGCTTATCTCCTAATTTGTAGATTATTTTAATTCTAGAAGCCGTAGTCAATGTATAGTATGCTCCTTGACGTAGCAAGGTCAATTTTAGATTTTTTCCCTCTGAGTAAAACTACTGCATACATAACACGAATTATACGGATTACTAAAAAAACATTGTAGTTAGATAATACTCAGCTACAAATTAAATTAAATAAAAACAAATGTGCAAAACTCTATCGAAACAACTAAAAATTCATTCAGAGTACTACTTCAACCATTTGTAAAATACATTCGTAACACACATTTTTTCCTTTTCTTCCGCTTATGCAGCGAAAACTGTGTTTCTTGAAACGAAACAAAATTACACTTTCTTTTTATAAAAAATCGAATTGCAAAACCTTGCCAAAGATAGTTTTGTTTCCCTGTCCTAAGAAGGACATTTTATTTGAGTACCTCGCCGTATGGGGCATAACTCTGGGAATAGCTCTACATCTAGTGACGGCGTTACTTGAGAAGTAGTGTTCTCGCGCCTTTAGAAAGGCTCGAGGATGCGCGCATCTAGCCCAAGGCCTTGCGACATACCACTATGAGTCCAACATCAATCAACCGAAAGCACCCGGTTCTCTGCATATCGTTTTTCGACTTTGCAGCCCCGGAGGCGGGCATGGATTTCGATCTCCTGTAGTTTTATCCGCTTTGGTCGGCAGCCGGAGTTGTTTATGGTGTGGGGGGAGCATCACTTTGCCAAAGATAGTCGTCCTTCCGTTGTGCTCCATTGGCTTTTGGTTGTAACGTGCTGCTACAATTATTACTCGAGTAACGCTTTCGAACATGTGCTCGTTCATTTATTAATTTATTTTCGATTTATAAATATATTAAATAACACGAGAAATCGTAATTTGTGATTTGATGGCGAAAAGTTCTACCGAAGAATTTTCGACATCATAATATTTCTATATGTTTTATTTATGTATTTTCTTGTTTAGATTACGACTATTTATTGAACGGAAAAAATCTAGCATATAATGTAACGTAATAGTCTTATTTGACACTATTTTCAACGAGTTTATTTATACTTCTTATATTTTTCAGCGACTCAAAAACACATCGCTTTAACATAATTATTTCCTACGAAAACTGGCGGTGTGTAAAATTTTCAATTGATTAGAGTACATTTCTAAACTTAAGAACACTGATTTTTTTAGCGCATTGTGACCAAACGATAACCAACTGATTCAATTTTTCAATCACATCAAATTTTTACTTCAAATGATATTTCGAACACAAGAATTTTTTACAAGGACTGACTTACCTGATTTACTCACCACTCAATTTATGATCTATTAATCTAGATTGATGCTCTTCTATATGCTTTGTATACATATAAAAATATCGATACATGGTTTTTCTATAATGAGATTTATTGATTATGTACATTTTTCCATTCTGTGGAGAAAATTGAAACCTATCGACGTATGTATTCTATCGGTTAGATAATTAATTCGTATCAAGCAGATATTTATTATTCTCATTAAAAAAACCATATTGATATTGTTGGAATTACAGCAAGATACTTTACAAATGAGTTTCGTATGTTTACATTATTAGATATCGTCAAAAATTAATCAATAAAAGTATTCATGTGATTGACTATCTACAAAAGTCAATGAATATTTAAAATAAATTTTTAAATGTAACTTCATCTATGAAATACTCTTGTACAGAAATAGTTATTTAAGCGATCTTGATAATCATATTACACTAATGTACGATTTCGAAATAATTGCAGCATACATGAAATATACCACATTGCACTTGCAATTATCTCCTATACATACCATTCTTTAATGTCTTTCATTTCACGTTTTTTATTCGTTTTATTAACACTTGAACTGGACTTGAGAGATCCGTTGTGTGATTGACGAGAACTTATCGTACCAAGTAAAGCAACATTTGGATCATGACAAAATGTTCGTGTTTCTTCGATTTTGTAATCAGCATCTGGACGATTTTTAAATTTTAAAATTAAAAGTATAACAAGTACAATAGCTATTAATGCTGCAGCAATAATGGCAATTATAAGAGCAGCATTCTTTGCTGCATCAGATTGAATACTTGGCGTTTTTGGAACATCTTTCGCCTTTGGAGAAATTGTTATAGATGGATAATCTTTAGAATTTAGTTTGGTTATTACACCTGTTACTGTAGTTGATGCTAAAGTTGACATATCAAGTCGATGTTCGGGAGTGACACTGAAACAAAAAATGAGTTTCAAAAAGTTACTTTTTTATTCGCATGAACTATTGTACTAAAAAAAATCATCCGAAGCAATTGACGCCGATCTGTTTAGAAAGAACAACACAGTGGAATTTTTGCAAGAGCAAACACAGATAATTATGTAGTTAAGCCTACCCTCCTGCGAGTTCGTTGAAATTTTAATATGTTATAGAGAAAATCATGCAAAGAATATAGATGCATATATTTAGGGCGCGGAAATCATTCTTTGAAGTATTTTTCTGCTTTTGGAGAATCAAATAATTGTAATTGTTCAGGAATTGTAATATCTGAATCAAACGTTAATAAAATAAAAGATGGACAGAATAGGAAAATGTAAAAGGGTTGGTCTAAACTTCCAGCACTCCCTGTATCTCCGGCCTCTCCGCCTCTTGCAACATTCAATTATTAAATAATCATTCAATCTAATTTAACAATTGTTATCTATGGTTTCGTAGAAATCGATAATTAGAACGGCCGAAAAGAGTTTCGGGCAAGGAGAGGCAAGTGGTGTTAACAAATAAGACTAACTTTTAACATTAGCATAATAAAATTTTGACTAAGAATACTGATAGAATCTCAAACGATGGATAGCAATCGCAGAAATTCAAAGAATTTTATCTTTTCCATAGTCAAACACGAATAGAAAAGAAAAAAAAATCGATAGATTTACTGATGATAATCGTATGTAAACGAACTTGAAATATCAGTGCTCTGCAGTGGTCTGGGTGCGACTCGAAAGGTCCACACGACCAACTTCCCAGTGGAAAAAATAAAAAAACAATTCGAATAAAACCTGTTCCCATTTTTTATAACAAATGAAATTGTTATAAACGAAATGAGTCTGTTTTTATTCATTTGACACAGTTAGTTACTTTATTTCAGTAAAAGAAAAAATCATGCATTAAAAGTACACATATATATAGAATGGATTCCTATTTTTATTGTTTATAACAATTTAAAACTTATTATTTAAATATTACTATTTTCAATAATCACTTGTTAGTAACAATGTTCAATTGTTATAAACACAATTCCATATTATTGACTATTATAACGTCTTTAATGCTGTTTGTTCAATCTTGACACAAGTTTAAAATTCTTTCATTGCTGATTTTGTTTTTAAAAATTTTTTTTTCGATGAAATATTATCACCATATTTTCATACAAGTATTCTAATTATTTAATGTTCATATTTTTTCTATGATTTCATAATTTTGTCTGAAAAATGGTACAATTTATAAATTGAGAAATTCAGGTTACTTTCCATTTTTGCTAGTTGTTTGGTTCTGCAAAAGAAATCGCTGGACCGATTTTCCTAAAAACTTTTTCAGTTCTAAGTTATGTAGTTACGTGTCGAATGCAATTGGTCCCACATTGATATCATTTTTTGTTCTCGAGATAATCCAGGCGAAAAATAATTCCGAACGTACGTACGCACATATGGACATACGCACATACGTACATACACACACACAGACGTCCATTGGAAAACGGTCGTACTGGATCCGCGGGACCTTAAATGAGAAGATATGTTAAAATTAGCGATTCGCAAAATCGGACTCATTACTATAACTTCCCACTGGGAAGTTAATAATTTCCTGATCAATTGTTTAAAACGATATCAATTATTATCGAAATGGCCACCAGATAGTATTACTACATCATTGAATACACAAATTGATGTCATTTGTTCTGATATTCATAACTTACAATGTGGAGTATATGAATCATAATATACGATATTAGCATGGACTGTGATAATAAAAATATCAATGAATTTCCAATGGATATTAAAAATGATGATATAGATGATAAGCAAACTAGAAGCATAATTAGTCATGATTATATTGTATCAAACGATATTGAGAATGTCTATGACAATATAGATGATAATAACGTACCATATGATCTTGATATTCCAATCGCAGAATGTCAAGAAGTGTCTCATTGTAGATTTTATTTATCTGATAAACATATTAATTTATTTCATGAAATAATGAATAGAAAACTAACTGCCCACGGAGTATATAATTTCGCACAAGATGTAGGATACATAGGTGCATTTTTACATAATTTACAAGCAATACCTAGATCTGAAAAAAATATTCAGATTATTTATAGCGGTAATATTGGTGTCAACATTGTAGGTCACTGGATTTGTACAAAATATGACGGTAATGGCAACGTACACATCTACGACAGTTTAAATAAGAATTACTTGGAAAAAGATCAAATAGATTACTTAGATACCTTGTACAGATTAAATAAAAGATTTATATTCCATAAAGTACAGGAACAAAATAATGGTATTGTGGAGCATTTTCAATCTATTTTGCAATATTATTGTGTTATAAAAAAGAACCAGAGAACCAAATGCCATATAATGTACCAATTATGCGTAATCATATAGTTCAAATGCTGCTGAACAAAAAGTTACTACCGTTTCCAAATCATGGATATGAAAAATAATTTAATGATAATATTTACTTGTAAAAAGTGATAAACACCGTGGACCATTTGGACTGAAGCAAATAAATCTAGGAAAGCTGTACATTCGAGTATTTAATGATGATCCACTTACAGTATGCTTGTAATCGCTGAACATTCACTACTTTACACTAGTTACTGATCACTACTAGGTTTTGTTTATTATCCCAGACAACTATGACACAATAATAGTATAGTGTCACAAGATAGTAGCAGGATGGGCACACAACTCCACGGCTGCTCTTACGGCCTTAAATTAATAATAAATAAATTCGAAAGCCTATTCTAGAATGAATCGACAGTTACTAGTTACTAGTCACTAGTTACTACTGTACACTATCTAAACTGGAGTACTAGAATTACTGAAGAAACGTAAATTTTCCAGTAATTTGTCCAAAATACATGATACTTTTTTTTTTTGTATTTTTGTTATAGATTCATCTTATCATCGAGGAAGCACCAGCACTGCCACAAGAAAAGATTGAAGAACGGTTGTGAATATACGTTGTCAACAGGTTTCTTTAAAAAACCACATCTCTTTTTCTTTTATTCGGATTGGGAAATATCTATTTATACACTGCTATTGTTGTTTTATTTTGATAAATCTTATTTCAAAATGGAAGTAAATGTCAAAAAACGGTACTTAACTAATCAAGAACTCCTTCACGCATATCGATGGGTCAACGTCAATTCCATCTCGTCAGCAATGATATACAGTAACAATGTGAAGACATGAAGTAAATACGAATTATAAAGAATACGATAAATTATTAAAATTTTCCTAATTATACTCTATAGTGACTAAACAATATTAATAATAGACCAAGATTCTGACATCGCCACACTCTTTATTCTCTTCGTAAATTATTCAACAAACATCAATACTAGTCTTTCTGTCTTGTTTTGAGGTTACTACAAAGATAACTTTCAGTAATTCATTATGACTGGACGTGGAAAGGGAAGAAAAGGACAACATTTAACATATCATGAAACCTGCAATCCATCCTTTCGCTATTCGAGGTGGTGTTAAACATATTTCTGGAGAGACTTGTGAAGTTTTAGAAGTCTTCCTCGAAAAAGTGATTAATGACGCAATAACTTACATCGAGCATGCCAAATGAAAAACTGTCACGGCAGATGTAGTTTACGCATTGAAAGATAGGGAACGTACGCTATACGGATTCGGTGGTTAAACATTAATTCGCTCAAATAATCGGAAAAAAATGGAAGAAATTAATGAAGATCTTACAACACCAACATCTTATGCATAACAGCTGTATTGAAGTAGAAGTCTGGAATATTTCGAAAAATCAGCATAACATAAGACAAATCAGAATATAAAACAACAATATTCAGTGTTCATAATTAATTAATGCATCTAAAACTAACAGAAGAAAGCGTTGCTTTATTTAAAATTATTTCGACTGTTAACAACTGGTATTTACAACCGGGCTCTACGTTGATATTACAATATTGCTTATGAACATTTAATCAAAAACTATATGCTTGTATTCATTGTTTAGAAATAAACTAACTTTTAATTGCAAGAACATTGTTAAATTTTGGGTAGCAAAATATACCCTCATATACAATAGCTATTAACTATAATTAAATTTATTATAAACAATTAACCAAAGAGTTATCAAAAAAATTTGAGTTTTTGGCAAATAGATCGTTAACTAAGCAAACATTGTGTTATAAGGAATAAGGATTCAGTTGAACAGAACAGGTAGACTTTTTTGATTAACCAAACGGTATGTTATGATTTTGTATTAAGCAGCATCAATTTTCATGGTTGAGTATTGTTTATATACCGTAAATTCAAGTGCGCTATTCGTGGGGACACTTTTAACATGCTAAGCTTCTTCAATGTTAAATGCCGTAAACTATCAATAGATTTTTTACACACGACGAACAGCTTCCAGCGACTATATCCGCGCAAATATGCATAATAACATTACATTGTGATAGATTGATCAAATAAAGTATTAAATGGTATTTTCGTAGTTTAAACAAACCAATTACGAGTAGGAATTGATCTGTGATGATATTAAAAAAATTATCTACATAATATCAAATGTAGCGGATAAACCCGCTATCATCGTTCGTTTATCTATTAATATTTATGACAGCATTAATATTGCAATTGTACTATCTAATTTATTGAAAGAAACTGCAAAAATAATAAAAAGTTCATTGAAAGAAAATAGTTTTGATCTGAAGAGCCAGCTTTGCGACGAAAGTAATCTGAAAAATGCATCGGAAAATGTTCTGATATCAGATATCCAGTTCCGATATAATACATCTTCTGAGATGTATTTTATTATTTGGAAAAATTATTTAATGTACAGACGATGATTTTTTAGATGATTTAATCAAGAATTGTGAGGATGACGTGGTTGATTTGGATTCACCATTTCCGGTGAAAAAACCAGGGCAAAAAACTATGAAAATTAAAATTAAATGTTTATTTTAAATTATGTTCTGTACACGGAAAAAACGGATGCTTTTTTTTTGTAAAAATTCCAACGTAAAATAAAAAATTACTATACTTAAGTTAATATTATTATGACTTAATCAATTGTACAAGTCCCTGTTCAATATTTATATGGTATTCAGTAAATGTTATGAGTTACGTATTTTACAGTATTAAGGATTAATGCGAAAAAAACATTGTTACAATTTTTGGAATGATTAAAATATGTCAAATTCGTTTAGAATGCTAGCATTGAATAATCCGTATATTACAGTTACAGAAATAATTTTCCTCAAAAAAAGTTTTTCAGTGACTGTGATAAAAATTATATCTATGTTTGCCTACATGTCGATAACAAAAAATAATATTTTGATTAATCATAAACTACTCAGTCTCTTATTACGACGTATTTTTTTCGGTGATTATTGTGACGAAAAATAATCAATCAATAACAATTGAAAATTTTTAAATTGTGACTTTGTTTACTGTCGTTAACGTTATTTCAAAAATTGCAGAGACACGTATCTCGTAATTTTTTATGCTTCTCTGATTTAAATTGGTCTCATTCAGAAATAATCAATAGTTTTTGAGTGATAGATTTTTTGTAATTTTTGATATAAAAAAAAATGTATATCTGCAAGTTTTATAAATATGTGAATGAAGATATTTTTCATCATTTTTCATGTTGTTTTTAACATATAAGGTCGTATATAGAAGCCTTAGCTAAATCGACGTTGACTACCTCGCGACGTTTCTTTGTGAGTAAGACGACATATTTTTCTTACCTTATAGCAGTTGTTTCCTCGATCTGTGTTAGAGCATCTGTAGACCAGACAATTACAGAGTTATCGATTGTGGTCAATAAGTCCAACGGCGTGCTCATGATGGTATGGTTAGAAAGTAATTCTTCGTTTTCTGTGTAGTTTGCTGCAATCATATTGAAAGTAAGTGGTGGTCTAGCATATGAGATTTTGTCGATTTCTTAATTTTTCAATATTAGGAAAGAAAAATGAATTTTTTTAGTGCTTTTCAAAATGAGTTTATTGCGTAACCGGGATAAATTTTACTTAGTATATTTAACACGAAGAGAACTCCAAAAGAAAATTTATGCTAAGCAATGTTTATTCAAATTTTAATAAAGCACATAATCTAGAATCTTTCACGCACGCTTACGGAATTTCTTATGATTCTGCGATGATAGCAAGTTGAACTGGATGTAATATTATGACCTGATTAAAAACAACTATAAGCTCAAAATATAACGATAGTTTTCGTATGTTTTAAATTCCAACTTGATTCATGTTTATTTCTTGAAATTGATGTAAATGCCTTTTTTTAGAAAAATGTATTTCTATCCAAAATTATCTTTATTATATTCAACGGAGTGAATGTTGTTTTTCTCGGAAGAATAAATCTGTTCAATTAATAAATATAATACATTCACGAATTGACATACTAAGCTCTTAATAGTTTGATTTTTTTTTGTATTGTTTTCAATCAGATTCGTAACATTGTGTTTTATAAATGATAATTATCGTCTTCGTCATTCATACTCAGCGCGGAACTTTTTTTGCCCTCAGGGCTACTCTAAGTTAGATTCCCTGACTTTTTGTATGATAAATAAAATAAATTTGAATGAATGAATTGAGTCGGCTGGATTTAATGAAAACAGATACATCAACCGTCAATGGATTAAGATGTACAGAGCTATAAATGATTCAAACGATATTAAAAATAAGAATAAAATCTCAAATGAACGATAAAAATGGTTATTACTCTGTAAGCAATTAAATTATTACGTTTATCAAAAACTAATTGTTGAATGAAGTAATAGGTTCACTGTGTGGCCCTTTTATACATACTTCTGAAAATCTTATTACTTTTGCTCTGTCTCTTATTACCATTCTCAGGATATATGCAATTTTCTATACAAAAACTTATTTACATTTGATAAGAAAATCTCAACTTTTGAATTAAACTAACCGTTTAAGGATAGGGATGATTGTGCCGGAACAAAGCAGACGGAAGTCAGGTTTTTAAAAAAAAATATAATCTTTATTTTGAGCACTAACAGGTACACAATATACACTGAATGACTGTTTGTCACTGAATACAAGAAATGAATGTCTTTAGAAATCACTAAATGTCAATTGTAATTAGTGAATGTGAATTGAATGTCTAAAAAATACTCAACTTGGTGTGTTCGGTATTATTGACCTCCCACACGAGCTCAGCACGCTTCTCAAGTTGAGCAAAAATGTAATTGTGCACGTGGCGTTAACCTACCAATGCAATGCAAAATGAATTTAATGTAAATTCGTGAATTTTCCATGAAATGTCTTGAAATGTTAGTTGATTTTGATTGTAGAATGAAAATTGAATATTTCTGGTGGTTCAGAATAGCACTACCACTAATAATTGACTCGAAACTTCAAGATTGTCTGGAAAGAATGTGAATGGCGTGTACACGTGAATGAAAACGGAAAAAGAATGGCGACAGGAACTTCATTAGTCAAAAGAGACACTAAAAATTAGTCAAATGATTGACTAAATTAAGAATTATTTGATTGTTTGGTCGATTGGTTATCGACCCAGTCCCAAGATGGTTGCCGAAGTTCTGTCAGCTGGCAAATTCAAACTGAGAATTAATTAATTCTCAACATGCCGCCCGCCAACAGCAACTGGTTGATGATTGTCTTCTGGATGATTCAGCTGCCGGGCTTCAGGAGTTGGGTTGATTGGTAGAATGGCTAGTTTGACGATTGGTCTGGCCAACGTCGTTGTTGGTGTCTTCACCGTTGCTACTCGTGGCAGCCCGTCTTGCCCTGGGTGCAATTGAATAATCCTCACGAATGGCCATTTCGTGGGGGGAAATCTTTCATCTGTCAGCAAGGCTAATGCACCAACTTGAATTATTCTGTTCCTGAAAAACCACTTAGAAATAGCTTGTAATTTTTGTAAGTAAGATTATGACCACCTGGACCAGAACTGGTGTGATTGTCACAGCTGGCAAATTAAAACTGAGAATAAATTAATTCTCAACACATCTGTAATTTAGTGCCTACGTATTTTCTTTGTTGTTCACCTACATAATTATTTTTGTCGTTATGCAGCAACGTCTTAGTAGTAGGAACTTTATAGAAAAAAATGGTATTTCGAGGAATAAATTCTCTTTCTTAGGAACCATCTAGACAGATGAACAATAACCCAAGTCGAAAGGTCCTATAATACTGTTTTTCTCTGAATCTTCTTCTTGACGTAATATTTTATCTCTATGTTGAGGCGGAAAGCGATATTATGTTCCAAATACCAAAATATCATCACTACTGTAAATCCTGTGGATAAGGACGTCTGTAACACTTATATTTTTTTAAGAAAGCGAGAAAAACATGATCATCAGTGGTAATAGAAGGTATACCCTCGAACTCAAGATCAATAATGGAATTGGAATAGTACAGTTTTCTGTAGAAATCAAGAAAACATTACGACAGTTAGGAGTTTTACTGCTGGACGTAAATTTACTAGACAGTTCAGTGAATTGAAAAGGCCTTATCTAGAATGAAATGTCGTGATACAAATCATTGAAGTCGTTAAAGTGCAAGAATTCACTTGAGAAATGAGCAAATCCCATTTTTCTCGAGTTTATTTTTTTTATCATGTAATGAAAACCTTTTCTTTCCTCTGCATAGAGTATGTTTTCAAAAAGGATCCTAACACAAATGACATATTTTATCATTTTTTCAGAAGCCCTTATCGCAATATACTGTGAAGCAGCTCTGTTGAAAATTAATTAATTCTCAGTTTGAATTTGCCAGCTGACAGGAACTTCGGCGGCCATCTTGGGACTGGGTCGATAACCAATCGACCAAACAATCAAATAATTCTTAATTTAGTCAATCATTTGACTAATTTTTAGTGTCTCTTTTGACTAATGGAGTTCCTGTCGCCATTCTTTTTCCGTTTTCATTCACGTGTACACGCCATTCTTATTCATTCTTAACAAATCTGAAAAGTTTGAGTCAATCATCAGTACTAGTGCTATTGTAAATTGTCAGAGCCATTCAAGCTTCATTCTAAAACTAGAATCAAGAAATATTTCAAGATTTTTCAGTGTAATTCAAGACAGTTCATCAAGATTCATTTGCATTGCATTGATAGGCTAACGCCACGTGCACAATCACATTTTTGCTCAACTTGAGAAGCGTGCTGAGCTCGTGTGGGAGGTCAATAATACCGAACACACCAAGTTGAGTATTTTTTTTAGACATTCAATTCAGATTCAATAATTAAAATAGACATTCAGTGATTTTGAGCGACATTCAGTCTTCCTAGTTAATAACACAAAGTTGTCAGTGTATTTAGTGTACCTGTTAGTGCTGAAAATAAAGATACTTTATTTTTTATAAAACCTGACTTCCGTTTGCTCTGTTTCGGCACAATAATCCCTATCATTAAACGGTTAGGTTAATTTACAAGTTGAGATTTTCTCAACAAGCTCAGAACTCATTCAGATTAATATATTCCATGCTTTCTACAATAGATCGCGTATCTGGGTCGAGTTCCTGACGAATTCGAATTAAATATACGTTCTCAGCTGTGAAAGGCAGCATTAAACATGCTTGTTTTTTAGCTCTTTTGAAATCACCGACCTGAGTCTAACGAGTGATGACGGAAAGACAGATAAGACAGTGGGTCTTTGACTAAAATTTAGTTGATACCACCAAGAACTGTTTGTTCCTCAGCTCTCATTCTCATGACTTGATAATAAAGTGAGGTCATTATGTCCCCGACTTGCTAACGTACATCTGCTCTCCGTTTTTTTTTCCAACGTCTCCCCGTTTGGACATATAGTATTTCTTGTCAGTTGTATATATATATGTTTTTCAAGTTTTAATGATTTCCCAAGAGCTGCGATTCAGCTAAAGGTGTTCCGCTGCGGTCATCTACTTCATTTTATATGTATAACAAATTGGTTTTTTTTTTTAATATTAAAAATTACAAGCTTTCTCGCGTTTTTGGAATTTTCCAACAAAATATCTATTTCTGTATTAAAAAAAGTTTTGAAATCATACAATTGTGCTAAGTCCGACTCACCATAATCGAAAAACCATAAAATTGTTTCTATTAATTGTTTAATAAATAAATACATCATTGTGCGTGAAAAATTGAAGTTCGAATGCTAGATCAAAACATTCTTTAGTTTCATACTTTTCGGATTCTTTTCGACGGAAAAGGAAAATGGAATTGTGAAAGTTTTCAAATTTCGACATTCGGATTCTTCAATTGTATAGAGTCACAGTATTATATAGCTGAGTTTATTCCGGCCTGTTTCTAAGGGCCTTTTCTTACCGCTGGATATTTTCCTCCAAAAAAATTGGTTTCATTTATTTTCAAGCAGGCAGAGTTGAGCAGCACCAATATTGAAATCTACGCTGGATGGTTATTTCATTAATTTTCATAATTTTAAACTCGAAGTGAAATTTAGATTCCGTGTGTTTATTTCAATCAAGCTCAATTTAAAATTTCATGTAGCTAGTAGGAATCCCTAGGAAGAGGAGACTGGAAAAAGTGTAAATTGTGTGTGTCCATATATAAATGGATTTATAGTAGCTCTTTTCAGACAACATATTCGGAATTCTGTACTTGAAACTGTTGATTGAATCAACATTCTTCATCTAATACCTGTTGTTTCCATATAATGTTTTGCAATATTGTTGGTCATCATCGCTTTCCTTTGACTTTTGTAGGTCGCTAGTAGTGCGTAATATGGGGCATTTGCTAATATAACAAATGGAGGTTTTTAAGATTCAGACGCATTACACCAAGCTATTGCTGGAATACTTCTCTACCATCTATTAAACTAGACGGACAATGCTTTTTTCGAACAGACTAAAAAAGCTTTGTTTTCATAGAAAAAGTCTCACACCTTTACTGTTTTATTTTTTCTATCTAGCCGTTTGAAATATAAAAATAAATGCTATAATTTGTCTTGTGATTGAAAAAGATTTCCCTTGCTCTTTATCGTGTTATTTTTATGGTCTCAACTAGTTTATCGGACGAAAAATCAGTTTTAATTGACATTTCGAAATCTATTGATACTTACACTCAACTAATGTTGATACGCTCTGAGTGGTCATTAAGTCTCCAGAACCATCAAAACAATCTTCATCATCGTCACATGAAAGATGCTCCTGAAAAATGTTTTTACTTCTTGACTTCGTTATGTCAGGTGATTTAGTAGGTTGTTTGTAGATTGGTGTTATTAAATCATCTGAAATAAAACACATTATATATTATGATGCTTTTACCGTATTACAGCTTATTATCTCGTGTTATTTGAGTTCAGAATAATGCTAATAATATATACCATTTTTATGACAAGAGAAGTTAAAATTGTGTCTCTTAGATCAGTATTGCATTTAATTAATATGATGGTGACAGGCTCAACGTTATTACAATCTAAACCATTGTAATTTTAGAAGAACAACAAATACAACAATAAAAGAATTGTTTTTTTACTCAATAATTACAGGTATACAGATACATTTGTTTGTCAATTATAGTATTGAAATGATAGTACCATAATTCATGTATAACTATTCTCAACGCAATCAGTCAATATTAGTAGGTGTAGTCCAGTTAACAATTTGATAGACAATTGTCCTTCACAGATTCGGTTTTACAATCAAAACCAAGTACTCCAAACGATTATAAAAATTTAACTCATAAAGATAATACTGCTTAAGAAACATTGCACAAAGATCCAAACTTACCGTGGTACTTTCGCAATAGAAAATATGAAAAACATAGCGGAGAATCACCAACATTGGCAACGGGGAATAAAGAATTATTAAAGAAACCTTCAAAAAAATATGCAGACTGCTCGGAAGATCATAAAATATACGAGGACGTTAAAGCTTGATTACAGCTACTTTATCATAAAATTTGTCGAGTTGATTTTGTTCAATTAATTGAAATCTGATCTTATTGAATGCCTTCCACTCCGTATTACGCAACGAAGCTGCTACATACAAGGGTTATCATCAACTACCTATGTATATTCTACGAAAAATTTCTAATCTATATTTTATTTCTTATCATCAAGATTACCCTCGTTGGACAGTTTAATGTATCGATTATTTATATAAAGCTGACGAGACTCAGCCGTATTTATATGCTGTACTAAATAGAGAAAATATTAGCCTCAAAGCCGCAGGCAAATGTTTGTCAAGATAGCCCATTAATGTTACTCTTGACCTGACTATTGATTCAGATGCTGCTAAAACAGATTTTACTCATTTTACAAACCCTATTTCAAGTCGACGAAGATTGACCAAGAGTCACATCATTCGTGCTACAATAATGTCTTGAACATATGAAGTCACAGGTTCAAATAAACTTCAAAATGTTTCTACTCAACTACAAAGCCACAAACATTGCAGCCGGAAAAGGTGCACTAGTTAAAATTAAAGAGTTTTAATTGTAATTGAAGCAAATCGGAACAGACTACAAGAGGAGTTTATACCACAATGTTCGTCAAATCCAGACCTGGAAGAGCAATAAAAAAAATAAAGTTAATAATTGCAATGGTTTTAGCAAAAAAAAATGTCAATAATACGGTTCACGCTATAGGTCTGCAACGACATCTGTTTAGACAAATTGTGGCATTATCCATGAATGATAAAATTAATGTACAAAACTAAATAAATAACCGTGGACAAAACAACCGCAACAAAATAATCGTTCGAAAATTACCACAGATGAGAAAATAAGTCTGAGCACACTTTGCTTGCGCTAACACGATGAACTTTCGATTAGGAATTGTTTATAACAAATTTAAATAGTCATAATCAATGATTGTTGAAATTATCCAAGTCTATGTGATATAAACATTATTTAATCGATAAATACAATTTTTAATTGTTTATAAAAAATTCATATTGTTATAAACAATGCGTAATTGTTGAAAGTCATATTTGGTTGTGAACAATAATGTCTAGTCAATATCAATTTAATTTTTAAATGGAATTGTTTTTGTTTGGCTTTGAAGTATTTTAAATAGCTAATCTTTTAATTTTTTTTTTTTGTTATTTTGTTATAAAAGAGAAACGGCACAATCGAATTCGTTCAAATTCTTTTCAGGTCTTTTTTATAATACTATCTTGCGAATTAATGTTGGTTGAAATCACTATCTCAATTCGTTCTTGAGATATCGAAAACGAAAAAATGCTGACGTCATACGTACGTGCATACATACATACATATGTACGTGAATTGTGCATTTCTGTTGCAAAAAATGTTATGCTTTATACATTTATGTGACGTCACATAAATGTAAAACATAGGAATTGGGCATTTGTGTAACGTCACAAAAATGTACAAATTAAGACGTCAATTATTTTTTATGCTTTGTACATTTATGTGACAAGAATGAAATTTTTTTTTAGCAAGTTTCCAAAATTTATGGGACGAAATAGGCAGGATAAAAAAACAATTATTCTTTTTCCTTAACTATCGCAATCATTTATCGGTTATTCAACTATATCTGAAAGAATGAACGAGATTATGACTATCAGCAATTTGAAAACATTAGACAGGATAAATTACTTCTAAGACCAGACGACTATGGGATATGATCTTAGAGGTTATTATCGAAGTTGTTGATGTAGAATTCATAACTAACATAATGCTTAAAAGTTTTTACAAATTAGGCTTTTAGGCAACTTCACAAAAATCCCTATAAATGATTTAATATTAAATGAAATGTCTATAATATAATGACAAAGAAAATGATCGACTCCGTTAACATTCGTTGTCTATCCGAAAGATTCTATTTCTCGTTTTAATTTAAAGTTAAATTGAGACAAAACCGAAAAAACATTATAGTAAGATTTAAATCAATAACCTGTCGCTCCATAGTCTGAACGACTTATCAGTTATCCATAGACACTTAAGGATGAAATATTATTTCTATCATAGGTTCATAATTCATCAATAAATTACGTATGCATCATTTGTATTTTACATATAAGAAGATATCTATTCAACAGATAAAAAAAGTTTGTAATCGTATAATAGCTCAATATTCGGGTTGCTATTGTGTATTTTTGAAGTACATAGTATTAAAAAGTTTAAAAGAATTGTACATTTATGTGACATCAAAAAAAATCAGACTGTTGAATTTTTCTGAACAAAAAAATTTTTTATGCCTTATATGTAATCGCGGAATCAAGATTGCAGTATAAATAGATTCTAGCTCTACAAAGTGATTGAAGACAGAAAAATATGATATAAGGCATAAAGAATCCCCAGTATCTACAACGATCCTCTATGGCGCATGAAAAAGACTATGATTGATTTGTTACGTTCTCAAACAACATTCATAACACAGTTTACGTCGTAATTCATTCGATATATCGGGCAAGAATGCATAATGGGATATTTTTTTTAATAAAATGTGACACTACAAGAAATCATTCCAACTATTGAACTTTATTTTTAAAAAACTGTTCCACGCCTCTTAGAAAAAAGTAGCGTCTTTTGTAGCGATGTGCTTATTGATATCGAATCACTTATCATCTTGATTAGTAAAAAAAAAATAAGACGAAAACAGCACGATGGGATTCGAACGTACGGTCTTTCGCATCGCAGTTTGATTTGCCTAACACTAGTCTACCAGTTATATGATATCAAAAGTTATCTCTCATGTGCATTTATTATTCATCAATCACATACATATGCATTATTTCTGATGTTTTCAGTATAAAAGGATTAGAAAATATATTTCCAATAGAAAATAACATTCGCAATCATACGATATTGGAGTATTTGTGTTGTGATTGTTTATTTCATAAAGTAAATAATATATAGAAGTTCTGGGGAATTGCACCTTATGTGACACCTCGACAAATCACCCCAACTATTGAATCTTAGAAAAAAAAATTTTTTACGTTTTATATGTAACCGTAATATTATAATCACATACAGTAAATTTCTGCTCTTCAAACGGATTCAATACAGTTCAATGTTATATAAAAACATAAGAAATTACGAATATCTATAGAGATTTCGTATTTTGCATTAAATAAACCATAATTGATTTGTAACATTTTTGACCAACATTGATCATACATTTTTTATCCCAATTATTTTTTCTGCACAAATAATAAAATTGTGCTTTATATAGTAATTCAACATAGTTGAATGTTATATAAAAGCATCCGACATATCAATCATCTCCAGAGATTTTCTATGTTGCCTCAAATAAACTGTAACTGTTTTGTAACATTTTCGATTAACATTAATCATGCCATCTACGTCTTAATTTTTTTGTATAATGAATAAATTATGAGATTTTTTTTCATAGGAAGAAACGTATTCGCAATGATATGATGGTATAGTATCATTGTGGTCGTCGTTTATTTTATGAAGTAAATGATGTACAAAAGTTTTGATGAATTGTACATTTTTGTAACACCATAAAAAAAATTCAAACTGTTGATTTTCATAAGGGAAAAAAATTATGTTACGTCTCATAAAGAAGAACATTATTTTTTTCATAAATTTCTGTATCAAGATCGAATCATTTTTTCGTTAGTTAGTGACAACGAAAAAAAACGGTAGAAAACATCCCGCGGAGATTTGAACGTATGATCTCTAGCATCGTAGTCTAAATCACTTACCCCTAGTCTACCAGTCCTATGATTTACAATTTTATCTCTCATGTATATTTATAATTTATCAATGACACACATATGCATCATTTCTGCTATATCCAGCATGAATAAATTATAAGATATCTTCTCAATAAAAAAACCATTTGCAAAAATATGATGGCATAGTGATTGTGATGTCATTGTTTATTTCATAATGTACATGATATTGGGAAGTTTTAAAGAATTGTACATTTTTTAACACCATAACAAAAATTCAGACTATTGATTTCTATGAAAAAAAAAAAGTTGTTTTCCGTCTCTTGAAAAAAAACAGCATCTCGTTTAGCAATTTATGTATCTATATAAATGTTGTGCGTATCATAATTATGAAAAAACAAAAAAAAAGGTTAAGTGGTAATTGTGGGATTCAATCATGAATACTCTTTCGTCGTAGCCTGACTTTTTTGCTACTAGTCTATAAATATTATAAGACAAATAGTTTTTCTGGTACAAATTCATTTTGGTATAATATTTCAAAGGAAAAAAAAATGCAAAAGAATCGTTTATATGACAACTTTAACGAAAGTTGGGCACAGCACATCTTTTATGAGTATTA